ATTAATAGTAGTACAATATATAATATTTATATATAATATATAAATTTTAAAAAGGACGTACAATGTGGACGTGAATGCAACAGGAATAATAGCGACGTTATTTAATTCTGATTCAGAATGCACCGGCCGTTGTGTGCAAAAATGCACAATTACTTCGTTAACTCTAATACTTCAATAGCTTAGCAATTTCCTACTGCGATTGCATAGAGTTTAATTGCCCACCGAGTCAACCTAATAATAATCCATTCTCGGGTTATCCTGCTATTGCTCGAAATAAACACGCCTCTCCACCGAATAACCAATCTGGCTAATGAATCACGATAACAATTATTTATTAATGCTTCTTCGAATACAATTAATTCAATTATTAACGCTCGTCGCTTGTCGACAGCCTATCTCTGAAAACGACGACGCCCATTTTGTTCGATAAACAATAGAAAATGATTATCTGGATAAACGATAACAACGTGAATGCCTAACACAAGACAAATAAATAAAACAAAACGATAATTGCATTCGACTGTGACCAATTGTAGGGAAAAAATGGCCACGCGTTCTGGCTATAAATTGAGTGGCAGGCAAGACCGACTTACATAATTGAATCGATAAAGCGCGTAACAGCATGCGCCGGTGGATGAGCTCCACTGCCATAACTATTTCCAATGTTTTAAGAGTACAGTCGCTGGCAAGAATTTCGACCGGCCGTGTCGGGACACCGGCTTGCCTGGGTCGGCCACTGGTATTTATAGCGTTAATCTCGTTTCTCTACCATACAGCTGCATCGCCTGCGAAACCCTCAACGCCATTGATATCGCGATCGCATCTACCTCGGTCCCTTAAAAAATTCTGATCAAAAATCTAGTTTCAAGTTCTCTCGAGATATAAACAAACTCAGATTTTTATCAATATTCTTATCAGTACTTCGATTAAAGTTTCCAATTACCCGCGGGACATAATCAGTCTTCCTTTCTAGATAACGAATAAAATATATCGTGTAAGTAATTTGGTTCGAATTGTGAGCCCTTTCGAATAATTTTTTCAAATCCCGGAAGATCAGTTTCTATTCGGTAGCCTTGGTTATTCATATAAAATTCTCTGTTTAACTCCGGGGCATCGAGACCGGCACTGAGCATGTATTATTCAGCCCGCGCTGTCGATGCCTCGTTCGAGCACATTTTATTCGTGTATACACGCGCAATGTTACCATTGGTTTTATTATTTATGCTGTTAATCATACCCAGCGGTGCTCAACGCTGCTGATTCGATCTAAGACGAAAAGAAATTTTTTCAACGAATTTCTGCACGGACTATACCGCTGGCTATTATCGTGAATGTATGGAATTAACGCGTTTCAGTTCTCTTCTTCTACGGGGAACAAATACTTTCCCTGTTACAACCGTTTCAAAGCTCTGCATACTTTTCATTTATTTCATATTGTGGAACAAACAAACATATTCTCTTCAATAATTAATAGTAATAATCATAATAATTTTAACTAGAACCGAACCCACTGGACTGCAATTAATTAATACAAGTGGCTTTCAGAGTATTAATTGGATCCAATATAAACTGACGTCCCGTTAATAAATTATTAGATAATCGATACGTCGCAACATCGTCGACTGCGGAACCTCGGCGCTGTGATGGTGCCTCGCAAAAGCCCGGTCACTATGTCTAGGATTAAATTCGACGACAGTGAGAATCCATTTTCCTCCGAAAAGTCGCGAGTATAATTTTATTGTGGATAACTCGCGACGAGAATGGTCTTAATTAATTGAAAATCGATTCGCCCGCCTCTAGCCTAAAGCGGCCGGCTGGTACTCCGTCGAAAAAAGTAAATCGGACAAACGACCTTAGGAACTTAACGAGCAGAAGAACGATCGCTCTTTTGTACACTGATTTACTCCCAAAATGAAGCGCGACACCTCTCGAGAATATTTCCTCCCTCGGTTTTTTCTTTTTCCGAGAAAGCGTGAGAACCACTTGTTCGTTCTCCGCGAGGCTAGAGAATCTTTAGAACTCGTGCAAACGGAACGGCAGCGAAGGAAAGAAAAGGGACGACGAGGAAGACGAAATGATTATTCCGTGTAGAAATACTAACTACAAATGGAATATCGTCTCATTTCTGTAATTGCTCTTCAGGGGAACTGGTTTCCCGAGAGCAGCAGCAACAGCAGCAGCAGCAGCACAAGCAGCAGCATCACGCTAATCGCATAAAGGAGCGGGAGTTGTATCCGTGAATAGCCACTACCTACTCTAACTACGCCCGCCACTGTTAAAAGTGTTAATCCTATAACCGTGAATAATTACGCCCAGACAAAGCCCGCGATGCTGTACGATCCTCTCGCTAAACACAACTGTAACAACATTT